AAAATTAGCACAGAAACAGTACTATATAACATTTTAGACACATTCTAGACAGTTTATCAGCTAAAAAAAGTTAATTTTGGGGTAAGTTACTCTTTTAAGTTTTTTGTATTAAGTATGAATACATTTTTTTTAAAGATAACATATTGCGGGAAAAAAAATCACGTCGCTGAGTTGAACAGTTGTTGAGATTTTTGCATATGAAGTAACAGGAAGTGATGTCGAATGGGGAATGTTTGCATGTGAGCAGAGCATTGCTGCAATAAGAGACTAGAGCAGAATCTGAGCTTTCTTTAGCTTGAGATACCAGAGAGTTTATTTTCTTAATGAGTTCCCATTTGTTGTCACTTCCTGCTTCACTTTGGCTGATACAAGTTCAAAGAAAAAATGCCAGTCATGAGATAAAATAAGGTAAAATCATGTCAAGTTTCTTAAATATAAAGATATTTTCTTTCATTTTTTTAAAAAAATATTTAAAGGATATGCATGTCAGGCACTTTAAAGCAGCTGTTTTAACTTCGTCTGACATCCAGCATGGTCGAGGGTTAGCAGCTCAAGTTTCTGTTTGGTCACATGCTTTTACGGGTTTTTTTTTTCTTTTTTTTTTTTTTCTTTTTTTGGATCTGACCCATGTTCCATCCGAAACCTGATTCTGAGTCACTTTTGTTCTTTTTTTGTCACTGAGTTTTTTTTCCCCCTTGATGCTGGATAGATAATATAAGATGTACGTAAACCTCTCTGTTTACCTAAGCAATAGCACTGAACATCCTTTTTTTTCCTCCTGTGTGCATGTTTTTGTCCTGACGTCACATTTAATTTATCAGTTTAGCCTTATCTCACAACATACCAACTAGAAGTGGTGCGGCGCAGATGGATGAGCCTGAAGGCAGGCGGCTGAAGGCCTCAGAGGATTCTGGGTCTCAGGCGGAGCCAGACGTCCCAAAAGGTCAGTCAGTGATTGTCATGAGAAGCTGCTGAAAGCTTTGAATACGTTTTAACCACAGAAAAAGAACATGATGAAACTTGACTGATAAATACTTTGTAAGAACTTCTTCAGTTTTGTTGTTGATAGTCTTGGATAAAGAAAAATCAGAGATGAAAAGCCATTGCTGACATTTATTAATCGTGTGTAACCAATGATATTTTACTGCAGTGTACTGTGGTGACCACAGAGCACTAACTATATTTGGCTGATTTTAATCTCATGTTTATCATTCAGTCTCAGATTATCAGCAGCTGCAAAATGATTTGAAGTCTGATGCCCAGAATCTGGAGGCGGAGTCCTGGAGCTTGGCTGTGGACCAGAACTACCTGATATCACTGAACAAAGAGGCCATTGAAAGACAAGACGCCATCTACGGTACGCTGAAACAGAAATCGAGCGCAAATTTGTAAACTAGGGTGTGACTTACTCAGTTTGAGTCAGTTTTTTGTGTATTCTTTCACATACAGCGGGTAAAATAAATATTAAACACGTCACCATTTTTCTCAGTAAATATATTACTAGAGGTGCTAATGACAGGAAATTTTCACCAGATGTCGGCAACAACCCAACTGATCCATACATACAAAGAAATCAAACATAAATGTCCAGAAATGAAGTTATTTGTAATAATGTGGAATGGCACAGGGAAAAAGTATTGAACACACTTACTGAAAATTATCTAATACTTTGTAC